CTCTCTCTGTCTCTGTGTCTCTCTCTCTCTCTCTCTCTCTCTCTCTCTCTCTCTCTCTCTCTCTCTCTCTCTCTCTCTCTCTCTCTCTCTCTCTCTCTCTCTCTCTCTCTCTCTCTCTCTCTCTCTCTCTCTCTCTCTCTCTCTCTCTCTCTCTCTCTCTCTCTCTCTCTCTCTCTCTCTCTCTCTCTCTCTCTCTCTCTCTCTCTCTCTCTCTCTCTCTCTTTCTCTCTCAATTTGCGATCTGCTCAAGCGCGCGCCTCGTATGGATAGTGCTGGGCTCGGCTTGGGCTCGGGAGAAGCCATCAGCGGCTTGCGCTCGCTGATCAATGGGAGCGAGGTCGATTGTCTGAAGCTCTCGATGTCAGGATGACAGATATTCAAGTGCGAGAGCCCGGCGAGGCCAATGGCACAACCTTGCCTTTGGGTCAGCGAGGGCGTCTTGACCTGGCTGCTGTTCAAGCGGCTTTGAACATACCGCTGGACAGCCGCTCGGATGAAGTGAGCAGGCGCTGTTGGCTCTTCGTTGACATGAGACAACCGATTGCGCTCGGATCTCTCACAAAATCTCCGAAATTTTGGTTTCTTTCGGGTTGCACAACTGCAGGACACCAACCTCATCTACACTTTGCTTCAAGCTGTGCCCCTGCTACACGCCCTGCCTGCTGGAGCGGTGCGGCGTCTGAGTCAGGTGGCCGAGGCCGTTCAATATCACAAGGGTGACACCATATTCAGGTTTGAATGTGGACGCCGTGCTCCATCGCTTGCGGCCCACCCTACCCTTGATTCATCATCGCTTTGCTGTGTGTGGTGCATAGGGCTGGTGAATCTGTGCAAGCCGTGTATGTGGTCGTGCAGGGTCGGGTCAACTGTGGCAAGGCATCCCGCACTGCTGGTGATTGGTATGTGCAGAATCCTGAATTCTGTGGGCCATAAAACTACATCTTGCCTTCTGCTTGTTGCCATCGTCACCTCCGCTTTCCTTTTGCGGTGACGCCACGCTCTGTGCACGTCCACTTTGCTGTTCCTTTCCTACGAAGCTCAAGAGTTCCCCGGGCTGGCTTTTGTGAAACAGGTTGGCTGAGGGTTTCAGCCCAGCTCCCGCTACCCAGCACCGTGGCACGGCTGTTGTCGTGGGAGAACCCTGCACTTTGGCACGGATACCCATCGAGCAGTATGAACACGCCAGGTTACCACGCTCCCCGAGCACTCAAGCCTCTCGTCACATAGCCACCGAAGAACTGGTCCTCACGCCTCGCGTGATTGGTGATCCAGCCAGCATTGCGCTCCCAGCCCTGCGCGTACGTGGACAGTTCTGCAAACTGACTTGCTAGCGCCTTCCTCCTGCAGCAAAGATCAACGCAGCACAATTGACTCACGCTGAGTTCGCCTGTAGGTTCTTCGTCTGGGCATCAACCCCGCCACGGGTGCTGATATTTCCACAGAGAGCAATGCTTTGCCACCGCTGCCCCCTGCACCGCTTGTATCGTCTTTGGCTCTGCAATCAAAACTAGTTCAATTTGACCACAGCCTGGACGCTTTTGTCTCATCCCCGATCGCGGCCGAGCACAAGCTCACTTTCACACCAAAGTAAGTGTTTGCTGGGCAAGGCCTTTGTGAACTGAACTGAACTAATTGTTGCGCATTGGGCTCGCGCAAACTCACGACACTGCTTTGGAACATGTTCTCTAGATCGGCAGTTCGCATCAACACACCGATGCGCCAGCACAACGACCGTAGTCTACTCCTGGATGCCTCCATCACTTCAGAACTCCCGGTAGCTGATGACCCAGACGATGAGGATAGTGCTTTGCGACCTCAGATCCTGTTCAGCACGATCGATCCTGAGGACGCCGAGTCTGAGAACCAAGAAGTGCCAGCAAGCTCGCTGGCGTCTTCTCCCAGTATCGACAATAAACGCGCTGCAGCAGCCCTGCGCCCCATCCGTGGCCGCTCCACCGAGACTGGCTCAACCAGTAGAACCATGTCCATGCTGAGCTTAGAGGGATCTTTGCCACAACAGCGATTCTCATCGGGTACCAGAAGTCGAAACTTGGCCTCGCGCTTGACCTTACGAGCATCAATGTTCATGCCTGAGGATCGCGTGCGATCGGCGCTGGAAAAGCCACCAGAACAACGTCATGACAATGACGTCCGTGCGTTAGAGACAGAGCTAGGTCGTTTGACGGTGTTTGCTTTCATGCCCGAACCATCCCGACGCAAGCTGTGCCAGCAGCTGCAGTTACAAGAGTTTTACAGCTCTGGTATGATTTTCATCCCGGTCCACACCTTTCGCCATCTTGTCCCTCGACTTTGTTCTCTTGCAACTCACTTTGCTTTGTCTCGCACTCTCAGGCTCAACTGTGGCAACACCCAGCACTGCACAAAAGTTTTGGTGGGTGGTGTACACGGGCAGCGTCGTCGTCGTGCCCTCGGCAGAACAGCAGTCGAGTGCTGGCATTATCCTAGAGGAAGGAGAAGCCATCGGCTTTGGCTGCCCCTTACCCGGCGAGGGTGACTTGGTGGCCACCAGTTCATCCAACACCCAGGTGTTGCGTGTGACTGCGGAAGAGTACGAGGTAATTTTAGAGTTATACTGAGCTCCTGGTCTGCCCCTGTCGCCCTTGCTAACATGAAGGCCTTTTTTTTTTTTTTTTTAGGCGGCCATGCGTGAAGGTGATACTGTCACACAGGAGATGAAAACCAATGGCAAGGTCTGATCAAAATCCGCGCACAACAACATGCCATCAATTTTTTTCAGCATGCTAAGGCCAGTGTCCTTTGCGCAGGTTGTTGTGATCACTGAGCGGCGCAGCGTTCCAGGTCAACCAAGCGCCGGACCCATGCGCGTCATCATCAAAGGTGAATTACCTGTGTACTGCATCGCTACATGAGGCGGAAGGCGCATGCATCAGCACACCACCTGCCAGACTCATTGCTTGCACTGCTGTTTGTGGCAGCATCACGCAACAAGTTGCTTGCGTTTTTGTTTGAGCGAGCAGGCAAAAGCCTAGACTCGGACCCGCATTTTATGCGTGACTTTCTACTGACCTACCGTGCATTCTTGGTCAGTTATTTAATCGTCGAAATGTCTGCCCATCTGACTGCCTGTCTACCCGCACATCTGTCTGTCTGCCTGCCTGGCGTCTACCTGCAAATATGAATACTTCTTCCGTCCCCTCTAATGCACGCCTCCTTGATCAACTATATAATACGCCCTTGCCGAAATATTAGACGCCGGCAGAGCTGCTCAAAGCGACAAAAAAGGCATTGAGCCAAGTCAATACTCGGCCGCGAGCCACCGAGGCACTTGAAGTCAGTCCCCTCACTGAAACGTGTGCGCATTCTGCGGTTCTGAAGGCTTCCTTGCGCTGACAATCGTGCGTTTTAAAAACTCCCAGCTGTGGATTCAAAATCATGGCTTGACTGATAGCCAGCACATCGGTCACGACCTGCTGCTGCTTGAGCGTCTGCTATGCTGCAATTACGCTAAAGATGCGTTTGCCACAGATTTATTGTGTGCGGCACACGCTCTACGACAACAGCAAGTCAAGGTGAAAGCCGGTGTACCCAAAATGAACAGCTAGCCTCCAACTCTTGGCGTCTGTCCGTGTGATTATTGTTGCCCTGTACTCACGATGCTTTCTTGTTGCTTCGCTCGCCAGGTTCACCCGCCTCGATTCGTGCGCTTGAATACTCGTGGTATTCTGGAGCCCAAGGATGCGCTGCTGCAGCTTGGCTTGACCTGCTCCACCCAACTCTATGCCGCGGCCATTCTCTTAGCCTGTCACTCTGAACACGTGTTTTTTCCCCAGCAGCCCAAGGGTTCGCCGCCACCCTACACGCTCGTCGTTTCACGTGTGGCCCCCGGCAGTGTGGCCGAGGATGCCGGCTTACAAGCGGGAGACATGCTGCTCCCCAGCCTGCAACAGCAACGTGATCTTGATGAAGCGACCCTCCTCGAGCATGGAGTCGCTCTCTCCGACACTGGAGACGTGGTACTCCTCACCATGGATGACGTTTTGAAGGGGGCTTTGGAGCATCATTCGCTCACCCTGGTTGCCATGAACGACCCAACCCTGGCCATGCACCTGCGACATGCCGATTATGAGTCTGGTTTGATGGCTGCGTATACGCGACTGGCCTCGCGCAAGCGATCGCTGTCCGTCTCCCTTTCGGGCAGCACGGCTGCCTCTGCCACGGGGGGCAACGCCCACCAGGCCACGAGCGTAGGACCCAACCCGGCGACTGGAATCAGCGACATGTCTCCGGTCAAGCGCCGGCATAGCATGGCCACGATGGACGCTCCATCCCGAGGTCGGAAAAACTCCATGCTACTACCTAGTCCCGTTGGCATTTTCAAGCGCAAGCGAAAGGAGTCGACGCCAGAAGAACAGGTTGGCAAACACGCACGACATGCCGCAAAGCTTGATGACTTGGTCTTGCCCGCCAGTCCTTTGCGTCATTAAAATTGTGTTGCCTCTCTCATCTCTTCAAAACAATAGGTCCCCGATTTGATTGCGCAGCTCTGTGGTCTGCAGGTGAGGCGCGTGTCGCTCAGAATGGATTACGCTGTGCCCTTGCCTCACAACTATGGCATGTTTTGGGTTGCAGGAACACTTTGACCATGAGCTCTGCAGTGTCCTCAAGATCTATAGTCAAGACTGGAGCAAACATCATTATTTGGCTGTTAACCAGATAACCCGAGCAGAACAAGTGGTGAGCTGACTCGTACCCGTGTCATTCTGAGACACCATCTGCCAACTTTTATGCGAGCGCGTTTCTTTCATCTGATGATACTTCACATGCCTGCTCCTCTTTTTTTCTTTTTTTCGTTTTTTTTCAGGTGCTATTTTTGGCACGACTCTGGCATTTCGAAATCGCCCCGGACCGAGAACTGCGATTGCTCGTTCTTCAGGTAAAGACTTTGAGCAACACACAACGCCTCATTCAACGCCTGGCACTCAATCCTTCCCCGTTCTCTGATGCAAGAATTAATAAAAAGGATAATACTCACATTTCTCATGTTTATGTGTGGATCCTTTATAGCTGGATGAGCGGGGCGTAGCCCGCGAGTACCTGGTCGAGCAGACCGGCTTTGTCGTCCGCTGTCTCGAGGTAGGAGCTGACTATTGCAGGCTTTGTTTTATGCCAGAGAGTCATGCCTTCTTTTATCTCCTTTTGCACCTGACCGATCCGACCAAGGCCTGAATGCAGCACCTTATATTGACTCCATTCATGTGCTCCTCATAGGGGTCAGTACGTTTCCTGCTGGTGGATGTGCCAGCCGACATGTCGAGCCCGAGTCGTATGGAGCGAGCCAGTAGTCACAGCTCCATCGCCTCTGCTGAGAGCCGACATACCGACGGGGATCAGGTGTCAGTTTCGTCACACGAACCCAAGCATGCCGCAGTTGTGTGTCGATACGTCAACCTCAACCTGATCACGGAGAACGTGCGGCGTGAGATGTTGGACGAGGTGACACATAACATTATGAACGTCAATGACATCGAGTACGTGCAAAGGCTCGCTGCCGTAATTGCCCGTGACCCGACTCATATCCTCCATTTGCATTTCGTGACTACCCAGCTTGTTGGCTCGAGTGATATGCGAAAAGCAATGGCGCATGCTGCGCCGCGTGCAGCCAACCGAATATGTTGGCTTGCTGTGGCATAAGCTGCAGCTGGAAACCGCCAACTTGGACGAGTTGACGGAGCAATTCAATTGGCTGGTCAGGCTCTTCAAGACTGCCATCCTGCGACACAAGACGGATATCAAGCGGCGCGTGGACCATCTCAAGAGGAGTATCATCCTCGCTCGCACCATGGTCAAGTTGGGCAACCTCAACGGTGCCTTTGCCATCGTCTCGGCACTGGCATCTTCAGAGGTTTCTCGGCTTAAGAAGGTCCGAAGCATTAACTTTGAGCGTCGTCTTTGTTGTCCTTCGTTCTTTGGTTTTTGCCGTGGTAGGCAGGTCTGATTTGTGGGGACTCAAGCTTCCTTTCACGCAATGGTATAGACCTGGAGTGCTCTCAAGTCGACCGTGCGTCAAGATTTTGAGAACCTCGAGTCCTTGATTGATCCGACGCGCAACATGGCCACGTATCGTACCTTGTATGCTCAGGTACACTCCCTGCCACTTGATATCGAAAGAGCCCCTCAAATGTCAAGGCAGAACACAGCTTTGGTATTGAGCTGATTTCTTGGGGTGTCGTCGTGACATTTTTCTCATAACACGCGTCTTTGACAGCTGAGCAAGCAGCGCAAAGCCATTCCCTTCTTGCCCCTTGTGCTTAAGGATCTGGCTTTCACTCACGAGGGCAACCAAACGACGGTCGACGGTAGGAATTCCTGATCGCTGTTGCACCCATGCGAGACCATTGCAAAGCTAGCGGACTCACAACTGTATGTGTGGGTGCTTAGGTCTGATCAATTTTGACAAGTTGCGCATGATCTCGCGTCAAATTCACAATCTCACTGAGTGAGTGGCAAGCGGTGGCTTTTCTTTCTTTTTTTTTCTTTTTTTTGGTTCTGCTATCCCGGTTGGCCGGGACTTTGAGCAATGTATTGCTGGGCCCCTCTTTTTCATGCGACCAACCAACACGCTTGATGTTATGAAATAGCATGTGCCATGATTCTGAAGCTGTGCCGGCCAACCTCACTTGGCGTCAGTCGGGCCTCACACTCAAGCAATTTCATCATCGACAAGAGGTACGTTGGCATTGATGAAACCATCTTTATCATCACAACAGCAATTTCTTCACATCCCTGTATCATAGATGGCTCGTTCGATTCTGGAGGCCCTTGCCAGCCAGGATGTGATCGAGAATGAAGAGCATTTCTTGGGGTTGTCTTTCTTCTGCGAGCAGTCGCGACATTTGTTACGGTAAGGGGAAGTCTCATCGACGAAAGTTTGGATCTTTCCCGACTTGATGGAATGCCACTACTTAGCTTCACTTGCAAAATTTTCCGTGGCGATCCCCTGCCTATTCTGTGCGGTTGTGTGTAGACATTTGAAAATATCAGATCCTGTCCCTCAATACTTGGGCAAAGCGGCAAGCCGTCCCTTGCTAGATCAAGCCCAAGCTATGCAAAAATTTGGTCCAACTCACTTGCAGCTAGTTTCAGAGGAGGCCGTAGCCACGGTCCACGATGCTGGGGCGGAGCAAACTGCAACCGCCCCAGAATCACAAAAGCCCGAGCTCTCATCTGAGCCGGTGGCTCGTGTGATTCTTCGCCGTGCTGATTCAAGTGTCGCCCGCCACTCGAACGAAGTTGCGGGACAGGTGGGTCATTACCATAACCTTAAAGCCATCGAAGAGCCTGTGGACGTACCAGCAAACTCTGCGGCGGCCAAACAACTTCGATTCATCCAAGCTCACAGCATTTCCAGTCTTGACGGCGGACTGACCTATGAGGAAAGTGGGTCTGCAGAACCAGAAGCCGCCACCCAAGCCACCTCGGCTCTATCCAAGGTGACTGCGATCCATGGCGACGATGTTTCTAGTCGCAGCGTTGCAGCAGCTATTGAAAATCCCCCATCAGGGGATTGCACCGACCGTGACTTAGACATGGCCTCAGATAATGTCCATGCTGCCGCTCCGGCTGAGGTCAAAGTGGCGGCATCACGAAATGACGACATGACCGCAGAGGCAGTCGCCAACACTGAGGCTGAGCACGATCATGACCCCTCCCCTCTCCCACGCGACAAGTGCTCTTTTGAGAACCTGAGCGCAAAGGACGGCGCTAGTGGAAGTTCTACACCCACTTCAGTCCCCAGTAGCCCGCGCCGACACTCGTACCGGCAGCGCACTTCCTCCAGTGGCTCTTTAGAGGGATTGTCCGAGCGCCCTTTGTTTCGACGACAATCAGGCATCTTTGACCCCGAAGCGCTGTCTGCTCGTACGCCTTCGAAGGCACCTTCAAATAGCCCGCGCCCAACGGATCTGCCAACGGGGAAAGCGCCTATTCCACCAACGCGTGATTACGACTCGGATGAATCCGACAGCTCTGCCGGGCCAGCAGCACCGCACATGGACGAAGAGGACGCTGAGCGTGCCGTCTCTGTCTTTTCCCCGGAGGTAGGGGTAGTGACTTCAGATCCCCCAGCCCAAGCCACCGAACTAAACAGCGACCAGATGGAGCAGGAGATCAGCGATGGAGTTGAGGATGACTTTGAACAGTGGCTGCAGGGCATGATGGTATCGGCCCCCAATGCAGATGAGGACGCCGTGAATGATAGCACCGTTACCACTTCGACACGTGCAGAGCTTGACACAACAGAATTGGAGACCCTGATGGCTTCCATTTTAGCTCCGCCACCTGAAGGTAAGGCGCTTTTGTAAAGTGTGACACTTGAAATAACAAAGAAGTGTTGGTCTGTGAACCTGCTCATTAAGCATCAGCTATCAGGGACCTATAGTAACACCACTTCTTGCCTTTTTAATGCTCATTCTATTGTTTGTTTCATGATTGTGGATGGTTAGACCTGCCAGAGCAGATGCCGGAGGAACAGTCGTCGCCGCTATCAATTGTGCCACCTTGGCCTGCAGGCTTGGAACCTTTGACAGACACCCTGTCTGATGCGCCTCCCTCGCCCGTGCTAGTCCCTCCACCCTTGCCAGAAGACTATGGCGCAGATCAGACGAGACCTTCTCCAATTTGGACGCCAGGCAGGTGGCTGCTTTCTGTTAAGCGACGACCATGTGTGTCAACGCTCTTTCTCACTTAACGCAAACCTGATCTCGCAGATCCTTCTTGGGTGCCGCCTCCACCCAATATGGAAGAAGGGCACCCAAGTCCCCCAACGCCAGAGCTCACATCCTTGGTCTCTGACGAGACGGCGGCGACCACACTTTCGACCACCGAACTCGACCCCAACATGCTGGATCTCAGGTATTGTGTCGCGCCATATTCCGCGTTTTGCTTTGACATGGTGTTGGATTCCTCAACTACACGCGTTTGCTGCTATCAACAGCGATGATGACCTTGTATTGCAACCGCCGTCCTTGACCACACCTGAAGACGAGGTGGACATTGGTAAGCAGCTGAATACACCTTGCCAAAGCACGATCTCTGGACACCAGTTTCTCACCCATACCCTCACATGCCCTGCCTTGTTTTGTTGTTTTGCAGAGGCCCTCCTTGCGCAGCTCGCCCCTCCCCCGGAATAGGCAGTGTGTTTTTTGAGTTGTTTTGTTTCCAGTACACAGGATCATGTCCAGGTACCAACTGTGCTTGATTTTAGTGATTTTTATTTTATTTTTGTTTTTGTACTTGACGCAGATCTCCCCGGTCAGGGCTGGATCTCAAGAACGTGATGTCTGCTTTACTGCGGCTGCGCCGCTTATTTACAGCCTGTATTCTCATTGACATGTTGAACTAAGACATAATCGAAGCTCCACTCTTTTATCATGATTCACGATCGGTGGGACTCCACGTCTGACTCTTTGGCGAGGCAAAACAAGAAAAAAAAAACACTTCATCGCCAAAAATAACCAAAATCCTAGAGCGCCGAATCATCACATCAGATCAGATAAGCTCTCTTGTGCAGCCTGCAGCAAAGCCGGGCGACACACGCAATTGTGTCGCTCGTCCCCTTACACTTCTCGTACTTCATAGCTAGAATAAAAAAAAAAAAAAAAAAAAAAAGAAGAAAGAAAGACGACTGTGTGCTCGTATACGATCTCGAATCAAAAAATCCCTCTGATAGACCAACCTCACAAGCGCAAAAAGAAAAAAACATACACATCATACCACACACGAAAATCAAAGTACGAATGTGCTGGCTTGTTTATCAACACAGTTGAGCTAGGCAGCAAAGGACCGAGTCAGCACGGCTTGGGAACACGACCAACATTGTGGGCGCTCAAGGGACCACCCGGACCCCATGCCCAGGCCACGGAAACAGGCGGCGCAGTGAGTGCAGGTGATCTCCTCGGCAAAGAAATGAACCTGTGGCAAAATGAGCGGTTGCTCTTGCCGATGCTCGTCGTCAGTGCAGCCTCCGACTTGTCGCCAAAGGGCGTGCCAGTCCTGGTTCAGGTGAAGACGCTGCCGCGTACGAGTAAGCAGAACGTATGCCTTGCACAAGCTACCACGAGATCCGCTCAGGAGGGACTCGGCCACGTCGCTAGGCGCATGCACATCATGCCATTGATGGACAATGTCAAACTCATCACCCTAAAGGCAAGGGTGCAGCACCAAATGAGGAACGAGGACTAGTCATGTTACAAATCAGATGGTGACAGTCATGCCGACGGAAACATTCCAATCGCGTGGCACGAATAGTTGGATGTGTATGATTAAGTCTTCCAATTGTCAAACCCGCACACACCTTGGCCTGGAAGCAGGTGCCGACAAAGACATCGATGCCTGGCGGTGCCGCAGCAGTGCAAGCAATGGTGGGCATGGCCTCCAACTCGGCAAAAAGCTGGCGCGGATCTTCTCGCCGCTTGAGTAAGTTCTGAATGCATGACAGCCACGTCGCCAAACACGCACAAACGCCAGTAGCAGCCGCGGGTGGTGAGCAAAGAGTGGTGTCACGGCAAATCGGGCGACCGTCGCACTCGATCATGGTCTGTTGCTCCCGCCTTTTGCCGAGGCACTCACCTCTAGACCATTGTTCATGGCCAGGATGCGCTGGTCTCCCGACCATTCGGCATAATTGATCAGAGCGTTGCGATCCTTGAATGTCTTGATCCAGTGCCCACACTGACAGGCGTCATTGGCGCAAGACTGACGTTGAAGAAAATGCCAAAAGGCACGCGCCAACGCCGTGGCTTCGGTGAGGCTGGTGCCCAGCAGTCCAATACGTCCGCTAAAGCCACTATCGATGAGCATGAGCGAGATAAGCAACGCTTGCACGTTGGTGCCGGTTAAGAATGCTCGCGTTTGACCGCGGTCGTCGGCAGGGCTCGGCCAATGTGGCCCGCAAATCTCGCCGCGACGCTGCATTGATCCATGGATACGAACTCGAAGGAGTCGGCGCACAAGCCGTGCTATCGCTTCGGGACAACTTTGATCGTCCGCGAATGAAACAAGTGGTTCATGAGACAGGTGCTGGGAGGATGCGGAAAACGACCAAGCGCCCGTGTTGCGCCTCATACCGGTGGGACACGCTCATGGTCAGATTAAACGTCGTGGGAAGGCGGGCAGAGAGGCCATTGACACTGCCCCGCCATGTATAAATATTTTGATTGGGGTCACCGACCAGAATCTGTACAAGATGTTCCCAAATCCAAAGCCCACCGAACGAGTAATCCATCAGGCCCATTGGTTCCGCGAAAAACAACCCAAGACGAAACAAAAGGGGCATGTGGCCGTACCCTGGGTGTCGAACTCATGTCAAGAAGCGCCAACATACAGGCATTGAGATCCTGAGCCTATTCGTCAGATCAAGACAAAAGGCGAGTGTGCATGTGCGTGTTTGATCGCGCGCGCGAGATTTGGGGTTTTCTTTTCATGATGAGCAGCGACGACTGGCCAGCCCTTCGTACCTCATCAACCAAGATGCAATCAAACTTGTGGAGTCGAAGCTTTGTTGAGCGGCTATTTTTAAGGGCTGCCTTGATAAAGCCGTCAAAGGTGAGCTCCTTGAGGGCTAGAGACTGCTGCCACGCGACATTTACGGCGCGAATCAGCCAGGCTTGCCATTGATCATCGGAAGGTTTAAAGCCCTTGGTTTTGGCTCGTTCGTCACCCGTAGCCAAGCGATTCCATCGCCTTTGGTACACGGGGCGCATGTGGCGCGCCGTGAATTCCTCATCCGGAATGACCATAAAGTCAACAAAGGCCTATCACCAGAAACGGATGAAGAGGCACCAAAGTGAGGAAAGGGACCATGAACAGAAAAAGACAAACCATGAACAGAAAAAGACAAAGGCGGACAAAAAAGCAGCTTGCCCAGCACGCACCGACTGAACGATGCTTAGAAATTGTGAGTCGGCTTGCATGGCTTGCTGTTTGAGGGCTTGATCGGGGGAGTTCTTCAGCAACTGAGTGGGATTGACAGCCAAGCAGGGCATGAATACACGAGTGTCAGCAGCATGCAGAAGACTCACTGGGTGCACGAATCTCCGTTTCAAAATAGAAAAGAGAACAGAAAACCAAAATCCGACCAGGCGTAGCTGCTTGAGGGTGAGATCTTTGAGCTTTTCAGTCTTGCGCTCCATGCACAACTTGTGGCAGGTCTTGCATGTGACGTTGGGTGGAAAACGCTCGGCGGCTGCCTCCACAGTGGAACGGTTGAAAGCAATGAAGAGAAAGCGCTGTTCGGGCCGCAGTGCCGTGTACCTGATAAACATCCATGGAGCGGAAATTGAAAGCAGTCGCTCGAGTAGTTGGGTAGCAGGGAGAGGGGCGCAAGAGTGTGCAGCATGTCAAAAGTGTCTTTCAGCGCATGGCATCTGATCTGAAAAACGTACGCTTCTAGAGTGGCTGTTTTACCAGATCCAGCAGCAGCAACAACACGCATGACTTCACCACGGCGGCGAGCGGGGTTGGTGCTGCGTTTTTCTCCGGCCATCACCGAAGTGCGCAGGATTGTGTGCTGCTCGCCAGTGGCTCTTTGCAAAAAGGCCAGAATGCGTGGGGTAGCTTCACGGCCGGGTTTGACTCCCGCTGGTGGGCCTTGCTCCGACGATGCCACACGCAGCTCTTCGGACAAAACACATTCAAGTTGTGCTTCCAAAAGGTTGACGATGCGTTGGAGGCTGAGGTCAGGTCGGTGAAATGTTGCCAGGTGGCTGCATGCTACCAATTCCAGCAGCAGGTCGTGACCTGCTGGGCCGAGGAGGAGCACGCGGCGAAATAAGGCAGCCACTTGGTCCGGGGCAGGCATGGCCAGATGAAGGACAGCCAGGAGCAAGCATGCACCATGCGCCGACTGCAGCACTGGGACATTGGCACAAAGACTGGTCGCGACGGTAGCCAGGGGTTGGCCCGCAAAGAGCTGGAGCGCAGCCACGGCCCCTGGCAGCAGCGCGGGGTAGTGCTGACCAAAGTGGGCAGCTGCACGCTCCAGCAGAGCATGTAGATGGGGCGTGCGCGCATGCTCGAGAAAAAGATCCCCAAAGTAAGGCAAAGGTAGACCCGGGGGAAAGCATTCTGGCTGAATTGGGGCTCGATGACGCTCGCAAGCCCGCTTCCAGACATAGATGAGGGAGTATTGGTGTGGGAGAAGCGAGCTCAGGGGCAAGTTGCTGCGGAGACGAGCTCCATCCGCCCAAAAAAGAGCATCACACCACGCTCGTGGTTTCAGCCCACGAGCAGCGGCGGGGCCACATACTTCGTCGGCAAAACTGGCCGTCCATTCCCTCGATGCGTCCACTGCGTCAGCAGCGTCCAGGCCCAATGCCAGGGCTGGTGTAGCAGCAGTCAACTCAATGCTCTGCGGAATGCTTGGCAAAGGAGATGGCGAGGCCACTGAGGCATGGCGCTGAGGGGCTTGGCCTTTGCCATTTGAGCATGGTTGCCCCGTACTCGCCATCCGTGAGGGTGGTTGGCGCTGAGGCTGTGGCGTCACCATGGCAGCCGCGCTCGTGGCATCGGCCGTGCGATGCCCTGCCCAAAGAGCAGCAGCGGACTTGAATCCACCATGGCTGGGAGTAGGCGGAGGTGCAGTAATGGACTTTGCAATCTTTGGGGCGAAAGTGCCATCGTGCACAGCGCTCGCGGCAGATTTGCAGCGCTTGACCGTCAGCCGCGCCGCGGGGGACGTCGGCTCGGTCATGACAATAGCATTCGATTTCAACGTGTGATTTGCCTCCAATGCTGTCAACTCAGACAATATGGTGTTTTCGACCTGATTCTCACGTGCAAACTCGTCATTCAGGCTCGGCTGCCATTGCTGCCACGACCAACTACCCCACTGCTGTGCTCAAAAGCCAAAAGCCAAAAGCCAAAAAAAAACAAAAAAAAAACGGAAGTCAACGGTTTCTGAATGAATCGAAATCCACCCTCGAGTGCATTTGTCAGCATGTCAGCCGATTCATACAATGTCAGCATGTCAGCCAAGTAAAGCGTCGAAGTGTGATTAAAGTTACAGTGTCACATGCAAGGGGTTTGCTGTTCAAGCACACGCGGTGATTTTGGAAAAAAAAAAAAGAGAGAGAGAGGGAGCAAGGGAGCGAGCGAGCAAGACACACATGATGGCAGCCACAAACTCAGAGGCGACCGTGGTACAGGCGGAGGGCTCGCAGGATTCGGTAAAAAGTCAGGCGCAGCTGGCTCAGAATGAAGAGGTTGGTCTTGGTCTGGTCTGCCTGCCTTTTGCGCTTCTGAAGCGTTTACTTTCTACTTTTCTTGCTTGGGCGGGCGGCACCGTTCTTGCGTGGAGGATTCATCAATCATTTCGACCGGACACACTGTTAGCTCCTTCATGCCTGTGCAGTGGGTGATCTGGATGACATTGGCCAGTTGATAAAGGCCGGTGCTGAAAGCTTTTATCAGCGTGACAGTGATGGCAAGAGCTGTTTGATGGCTGCCGCAGAGAATGGCCATCTTGATGCTGTTCAGCTCCTGTTGCAAGAGGGCGCGCCCTGGAATGCCGTTGACCGCTCGGCACGCTGTGCTGGCGAATATGCCGTGAGCGAAGGATACCAGGACATTGTGGATGCCCTCGTTGATGCGGGTTCGTTCTGAGTCTGATATTAATTTGCCCCGGTTTGTCGATTGTGCGCATCTGTTCAGACCCAACTTCTGGATGCTCACTCTTTTTGCTGGTGACTAACAGGTGTGCGGGCTGAGCTCTTGTTCTATCGCATGCACGTCAACTCACCCCCGCCAGCCCCAAAATACTTGAACAAGCCCGTCCGGTAATTTTGCAAAGCCTTTCTCTGCCTTGTAGCTCGTCCACGTTGGTTGGGAAGGGTGTTGCTCAATGTCACCCGGTGTCCAACCTCTGGTGATTAGCTATCAGGGGGATGATCTCCTGGACGAGGAGGACCGCGGCGTCATGATGTTGTGGGAGAAGCCTCTTATGGATGTTCATGCTCAGCTCATGTGCCAAAGTCAGATCGCCTCATCAGATTGCCACGAAAAGTCTTGTTCCTGCGAAACCCGACTTGGGCTCACCCCAACCTGTGTTTGACTGGTTGCAGCCCACGGCGATGTCCTAAACGTCGGCTTTGGTCTTGGTCTCATTGACACGGCCATTCAGAGTCATTTGCCCCGGTAGTTCTGAGTCTATCCCCGCCCCTCGTTTTCATTTCTCGGGGCCATCAATTCTTGCCCAATCGCTTTTTTTTTGGGTTTTTCTCATCACGTGGTCTGTAGGACCCATACAATCATTGAAGCCCATCCCGGGGTCTTGGCCAAGATGCGCAAGGATGGCTGGATGGACAAGCCCAATGTGCGCGTCGTGGAGGGCCGGTTAGTTTGTTTTTTTTGCATTGCCTTCCTCAAGCTTTGCATTATCTATACTCACTGTATTCATGGTGCGTGGACAGTTGGCAGGACGTCCTGGAACAGCTGGGTACATTCGATGCCATCTTCTTTGACACCTTTGATGATGTCCTTTATATGCAAGAATTTCACCAAGTGCTGCCGCGGTTGTTGCGGCCGGATGGCCTTTACTCGTTTTTCAACGGCATTTGCACCGAGAACGTCTTTTTTCAAGGCGTGGCTTGCCAGGTAAAACTTCATCGACAGCCCATTGTTATGTTGTTGCTGCCCCGTGCCTCGCCTTGCATTTGGTATTCTGATGCTTGCTTGTACCACCAGGTGGTCAAGCTGCAACTGGAGGAGCTCGGATTTGATACCGAATTTCACACGATTGAAGTCGACAGCGGTGACGATGCCACGTGGAAGGATGTTGCCTTTCGCTATTTCTCCGGCAGCGCCTATTATCTACCCATGATTACCTGGCATCAAGATACCGCCGCAGATCAGCCCACTGCATCTGCAGAGCGCCAGTGATTGCGCGCTGTGATTTTGCTCTCTGTCTTGCATCTGCCGACCAGACTTGCTACAGGGCCCGGACGAAGCATGCTCCTTTGTTTTATATTGATTGGGGATCGTCACAGACGGCAACAGACAGCACAGCTGTCTGTACTCTTAACTAGTGCACGTTTCAAAATTATTAGATTGGGCCATATCGTCCACGGTCCAGCTTGAGGCGAGCAAAGTCCATGCTCTTGAGCGCCAGTGGCGCCACCTGTTGGCAAGATGAGGCAAATAAGCAACAACCTCGACCCGGCCAGCGATCGGATGAACGGTTGCTTGGTTTTGGAGCTGGGGCAGCGCTGTTTGGACACTGCAATGTCTTCTCCGGTGGTGGTGTGTTTGATAATTGCGGTTTGTGTTCGTGTTTGTCTTCGTGTTCGTGATGTTGGTGGTGCCATGGCGGTTGCTGTGTGGTGTTACTTGTTTGAAAACAAACACAAGCGCCAAGAACAAACCTGGTCGGCGTTGCGATCCAAAGTCGGCGGGGCTTGGGCTTTGCTGCTGCGCGGCGCATTCATGTCCTAACATTGAAGAGTCGACAGGTCAGCAATGATGTTGCTGGCGTAAATGCACGCGTTGCATCTTTAACGTTTAAATGCACCACACAACCAAAATCGAGCCTGCTGCTGATGCTGTCACTGGCTGTTGTCGCCAAGGCGCAATTCCGAGTTGGATGCCAGACGAGCTGGTGGTGTCGTGCCGGGTTGCATCACAAACATACCAATCCCACGAATCGATGCAGCAGCGGAGAAGGCGGCTGTGGGCTCTGGGTGTGGCTCCCACTTGGGGACAGCTGCAGGGGCAAGGGCATGTCCATGAAAACATGCGCTAGGTGGGGAGAACGCCAGGACGGGCGTGCAAGGCGAACCTTGTACTTGGGCGAGGCACGTGAAGGCAACGGGGGTCGCATGCGATTTCGGAAAGACGAGGATCCTGCCGCCGTGGCAGGGCTTGTAGGCAGCCCAGACCGCACAGATGCGGTGTCTGAGGCTGCATCGCGCTGCCTGGTCGCCACTTGAGACCGAGTAGCTGATGTGTCGGACCGACGTGTACCTGCGGCTCTGCACGAACGTGGCTCGCGCGGTGGTGCACGCTGGCCCGACGCCTACGTATTTGATTTTTTTTTTTTGGCGTGTTGACACACAGTTCGTCACCCAACAGCACCATCCATCTCACACCCAGCGGCCTCGACAGAGGTGATGCATGTGAACAAACCTGGCCTCTTCCTTTGCCCTTGCCACCACGTGTGGCTGCAGCCTGAGCGAGGGCCAGGGCCTCAGGCAACTACAGCGCGAAGGGTTGAATTTGGGTTTGTGATGTATTAAGATAAGAATCATAAGAGTCGATGCACGAGATGCGGCAGCAACGTCGTTGAGGTGCCACACTGAGGCAAGCGAGACAGTACCGATTGTGGATTGGCATGGGCACGACGCGCGACTGCAATGCGCCCGCGGAAGGCTTGCGTAGATCTGAGTAGAAAGTGCAGGCAATTGTGAGACAAATGGCGTGTGCCGCCTCTCCCTCATTCGTCGAGTCCGTTTGGCGCCGCATATTTCAAGATCAAACCGTCACGCGCCACGAAACAACAAAGCAAGCAACCTTACTCACGGTTTCGCCCGATTGGTACTGCGCATGTACTCGATGACATGCGAGCTGTGGAACACAATGATGCACAATCAGATTTGTGGTTGGTGCCGGCTTTTTGTCGGTTTGTGCCGGCTTTTTGTCGGCTTGTGTGTACGCAAGGCATGGTAACCGACCGCACTGCTGACAAGGAGCCAAAATCGCTGGTTGGAATGCGAGACCACGGGTTGAGGTCTTTGAGATCCAGGACCGCGGCTAGCATAGCCACGCCCACATCCTCCCACTCAGGGATGCCATACTGCACGAGCAAGGCCAAAAAAAATGTGAGTTTGCACAATTGTCCAAAGGGCTATTGGACATGAACGAGCAAAAAGCCGTCAGGATCTCCCATACCGGTACAGGAGCAGGACTGATATGCGCCTGGCCTGGCCCCTGACCCGTCATGGGGCCGAGCAGGTTGGAAACTCGCCCAGTGCCATAATTGCTCTCCAAGGTATAGCTGTGGCATGCAAGCGACGGAGTGTAAGATGCGGCAAAGAATACTCTAACCACATCAGCCCGAAAAAAAAAATACCAATGTGTGAGGTCTGTCACGTAGAATAGGGCGACACGCCCACTGCCGTCCTTGGAGAGACCGTCTTTTTTACCCTACACACACCAAAAATGGGAGTGATGGAAGAGGAATGCGCGCGGGCGTCGATATTATAACACATCGCACAGCACGAAGACGTGCCTTGGCGAGCATATTTCGCTCTGAGAAGACAGAGCCCTCAAAATCAAAGTGTGGGGTGTTCATGGCAACCAGTTGGGCAAACAGCACGTTGTCCACCTGAATGGGGGTGGTGATCAAGAAAAGATGAAAAGATGAGCGCGGCGGGTCACAACAGGCAGCCAGACGCATAAAATCACACCTGGCGCTGAGAGGGAAGATTGTTGCCATAGATGAAGCTGCCACGCTTGGTGGCATGCGCGTGCAAATCAATGTAAAAAGCAAGGTTACCCTTGTAGTGGTGGTAGGCAATCAAGGTTTTGATGGCCCAAATGCTAAGCATGACCAGGGGGGTTAGGAGATGAGCCTCTACATGCTGCATGTACAGTCGAGGCTGAAACTGGCGGGAACACTAACGTGGGCTGATGCTCACGGTCCGGGTTGTTGTAAAAGCGATTGAGGTTGGCACCGCGCGTGTCACATCGATAGTGACCACGCGCAACTCCTATCGGGTGATGATAGCGCATGAGGTACACGTGTTCACACCGTGGCGGTACCAGCACAGCCTCTAGCACTGGGTTTTCCAAGTATACTGATGCACAGGACACGCTTGACACGCACACTCCCAAAGAAAAAAGACTGTAGACGGACGCCAGAGTCTGGAAACGGAAATGTCAAGCCAGAAGGGGAAAAAAAAAAAAAAAAAGCAAAGACAGCCAAAACTCGACTCGGTTTTCCGCGAGGCATTGATGCTCAGATCCACGCCCAACTTGGGCCTGAATGAATATGGGAACCAACCGTCAGGGTTGAGCATCGGCACGAGCTTGAAGACGTAGCGTTGACGCAAAAGTGCTGCTCGCGGGTCGTCCTGAAATCGATACAAACAGAATGAGCCAGGCACTTGAACAATACGACAGGAAAGAGGTGGCGGGGCAAGACGAACTGGGTCGAGAAGGAAACGCAGTGCGCCGTTGAACATGTGACTGGCCGGTGTTTCTCCTGGATGAACGCGGGCAGATATGAAGAAAACAGGCTTGGCTCCAAAAGTGTGGGCCCGAGGATGGGCTGTATCCGGAAAGAGGCTGGGCAGACGTGCTTCGCGCGTAGCTTCTTGGCCGTCGTAAGAGGTGATGGTCATCAAATCCAGATGACGGCCTTCAAGCGTGTGGGTGATCACATCGTGATGGTAATAGATGCCAGGCTTGGGTGCAGGGTGGTGGGCCGATCCGCTGGGCCGGCGAGAGCTGGGGGTGCTTTGTGGTGGAGGATCAGCGGCCAGGGGGTATTGTACAGCAAGTTCCTGTAGCTGGGTCTGAACCGCAGCGTAGGGAAAGGGTGGAGCAAAGGCGAGGTGAAGACAGGAGGGCGGGGTGTCGGCATGACTAGGCTCAAAGGTGAAGCGAATGGTCAAAGAGACTTGATCCGGCCGATCCTGGTCGCCCTCTTCTTCTTCCTCGTCACTATCGGGCTCGCCCAAAAGTTCATGTTCACAGTTGCCGGGAATCCGCTGCCAAGTGCTGCAAGCCAGACCACGGAGCCAAACCACGGAGTCATATCAAGCCAGGTCAGCAGCCACAAACAAATCTTTGCCACATGAATGAGGGAGCAGCACCTAGGGAAGCCGGGCTGATCAGGAGTACTGCGGGCAAAAGAGGGCTTGAGGCCGTATTTAAAAAGACGCTTCTGCTTATTGAGGTTCTCAATCGTGAAATGCAGTCGTCGCAAGTGGGCATACTGAGCCACGGTGAAGTAGAACCTGCCAAGCATGCACAATATCTGGATCAGCCACGCTCTCTTTAGTGATTGCCGTGGTGGACACAATGGCAAGTCGGTCAAGTTGTTCCCCGTATGAATGTACCATGTACGATTGGTGGTCTGAAAAGGAGTGCCTTCACAGTCACATGCCGTCCGGCCGTAGATGTGTGCCTCCTCGCCGTCCACGACGACTCGGATGTCACGCAAGTTGCCAGAATCAAAACTTGCGTCGACCTGTCAAGGAAAAAGTGGGGCCAAGCATGCGGCGGAGGCGTTGAAAACGTGAGTCACATACACCATGCAAGATCCTCTCCTCTGCTCGCAAGCGCCCCATCGTCTACCGCTCAAGGTGCATCCAGCCGCCACCCATTGTTCCAACCGTCGGAGCGCCGGCGACCGCCATCGCGACTCTGATGTGTTTTTAAAAAAAAAAAAAAAAAGAAGAAAGACATCATGCTGACAATTCATTGAGATATGTGTGAACTCTCTCACACATATGCTGCAACCCCTTGGTGACTCGACTGGGAATGTAAAAGCGTGACCCATGTCACACATTCATCACCAAGCTGAACTAATGTCATGTGGTAGCTTGAGCTGGATCGGAGCAAGACGCAGGGCAAGTTTTTTATCTGACATTAACAGCGTGCGCTTGCTTGCATGATGAATGATGGCTTGCTACGCGTACACAGAGAGAAGAGAGAGAGAGAGAGAGAGAGAGAGAGAGAGAGAGAGAGAGAGAGAGAGAGAGAGAGAGAGAGAGAGAGAGAGAGAGAGAGAGAGCGAGAACAAAAATCTCTTTAGCGCATTATCTGAGAGAGAGAGAGAGAGAGAGAGAGAGAGAGGGAGAGATCGCAGCGCGCAGCGGGCGGGAAATGGTTGGACGGTCGTGCTCGCCGCCATTGCAACGCCTGATTGTCCTCGCATTCCGTCTTCAGCGTTGTCGTTGTCGTCGTCGTCGTCGTCGTCGTCGCTGAGGTCCGGGGGACTGTTCTAGCTGCCTATGACCTTTGTTTTTTTTTTGTTTCAATCAAGCACGATCTCGCCCCTCCTTTCGAGTGCGCCTTGATTGTGTGGTAAGTCAGGACGCCGACATGCACGTTCCCACCGAGTCGTTGTGCTTGAATCGAGCATGGTTGATCATCGAGTCGTTGCTGCTCGTTCCCTGATACCATCCCAGACGGGCCCACGTCTCTCCCTGCCTCCCTAGTGCTGTCCGACTCTTCACTTGGCCTCACACCGTACTTTTTTTAAGACGCAGTCCGCCAAAATGGGGATTTGTGCCAGCTCCCCGCGGACCGAGACCAACCAAACTGGGACTCAACTTCCCACGGCTGTACGTGATCTCTCACTTTAAAGTTTTACTGCTGACGCCCGGCACCCTTGGTTGCGCAGTGCAGTCTTACCCCTCATCCCCGCCGCTTGACCTTGGTCTTGTTAAACCACGATAGATTCTCGACGAGAGTGCTACATCCTCAGCCTCCACGTTCAATGCCAAGTAGGATTTGAGTTGTCGTTCCATCCAGCACCCCCCGAGGCTCTGTCCGCGTCTGTCCATTTACCACCTTCCCCATGGTCTCGCTTCCTGCAGGCGTGCTCTACCAGCCATCCCGCCTCCCGTGATCGAGGAGGTGGCATTGGCACCCGAGCCTACGCCGAACATGCGCATCTTGCTCGCCATGTACGAATATCAGGCGCGCACTGATGAAGACCTCACCTTTCATCAAGGTACACACACCGTCCTCCAGCGCTTTCACTTCCCGCCTTCCAAAGGATCATTGGCTTGATCAGTAAAACTTGACATGATCTTTTGCGGGCTTGGGTCTTTCCGTGAACCCCAGGCGAACGCTTGGAGCTTCTAGATGACTCGGACGCCAACTGGTGGAAGGCGCGCTCACTCACCACCAATCAAGTTGGCTTTATTCCCTGCAACTATGTTGCCGAGGAATCGGTACGTCCCTGCCCCTGCCCGCTCTCATGGGCCTGGCCTCCCCGGCTCCCGTTCCAGAAAAAAAATGTCCCCCACTCTCCACGCTCTGCTATGTCCAACCTGCTGATCCTCATTCGAAACATCTTTCATTCATGCTCCAGTCAATTGAGGCGGAGCCCTGGTATCATGGCAAGCTGGAGCGTGCTGAGGCCCAGCGTCTGCTCACCAGCCAACCCCATGGCTCCTTCTTAGTCCGCCTCTCGAGTGACGGCCAGTCGTACGCCCTCAGCATTCGCCTCATTGGAGCAGATATCGACTACAAGCACTATCGCGTCCGTAAAATGGAGAATGGCGGTGCGTTTTAGGCTCCCCTGTGTCACGTTGCGCTTGTCAGCACACCTTGATCTCCGTCGCATCGTGGCTTCCCCAACCTTACCTCGCCTCATCCTCTGCATCTTATATCCTCGTGGTCTTTTACTGGGGCGCAGACTTTTTCATCGCCTCACGCGTCATCAAGCCCTCAATCACGACTTTGATCAACCACTATCAGCAGCAAGCCGACGGCCTGTGCTGCCAGCTCTCGCATCCCTGTCCCAAGCTCAACGAGCCAACCCTCAACACACTGAGCCACAAGGACGAGTGGGAAATTCCACGCATCCAGATTCGTTTGGAGCGCAAACTGGGGGCTGGCCAGTTTGGTGAAGTGTGGAAGGGTCGATGGAACAACAGTACGGATGTGGCCGTCAAGACTCTCAAGCCTGGTGCCATGTCATCAGATGAGTTTCTGAGTGAGGCTGCAATCATGAAAAAGCTCCGACACACCAATCTCATCCAACTCTACGCCGTTTGCACCGACGGCGAGCCAATGTACATCATTTCCGAATTGGTACGCCTTTGTAGGCTCGCATCAACCTTTACTATCCATCATGTTCTGGTCTCTCCTAAAGCCAGAACCACCGCCCACCCCTCTTTTTTTTTTTTCCCTCTCTTTCTCAACCTTACTTTTTGCCACTTCCTGGTTGGTTGGGGTCGTAGATGCGCTATGGCTCCTTGCTCGACTACTTGCACGAGCATGGGCGTGGTCTGACCGTCCAGCAGTTGGTCGACATGACTGCACAGATTGCCTCGGGGATGGCCTATCTGGAAGGCCAGAATTTTGTTCATCGTGGTACGTGCTCCCAACAACTCATCTTGCTTACACTCGCCCGAATGTGCTTGGGCTCGTTTCGTTGCATAACACCACGGCGGCCTCGGACTTGCGATCCTCACTGTCCTTTGACGTTCTCTCGGGGCTTGTATGACTGATGGATGATTGGCACGGACCTGGTTGGCAGATTTGGCAGGTTTGTGCTTTTGGCAAAGCCAAGTCCCTGCTTTTTGCGCATACATGCTCGCCGTGTTTTTTTTTTTTTTTTTTTTTTTTTTGTCTTGCTATGCTGGACCTCACCTTGTCTGCATTGTTTTCTGTACTGTGCCACCTAGCGCGTAATGTCCTGGTTGGCGACAACAATGTCTGTAAAGTTGGCGACTTTGGCATGTCCCGTGGTCTAGAAAATGACGACATCTACGAAGCGCATCAGGGTGCCAAATTTCCCATCAAATGGACAGGTAAGCTTTTCAGCATTTGCATGGGCGAACGCCTCAACGCTCGCGGGCTGGCTTTAGTCATTTGGCTTTGCAACTGCTTGTCTCGCTTGTAGCTCCCGAAGCCGCCAATTATAATCGCTTTAGTACGAAGAGTGACGTGTACGTTTCTAGCCCATCGCTGCGCATTCCCTCGAGCTGTCTCGCGTTATTGGTCCTCACTTTGATTCTATTCCTTCTGATGCAGCTGGGCGTTTGGCATCTTGATGATGGAAATCATCACCCTCGGTCGGGTCCCGTATCCCGGCATGAGCAATGCCGAGGTGCTTCGTCGAGTTGATGTCCCCGAAAAGTATCGCATGCCCAAGCCCCAAAATTGCCCCGACGAGTACCATGCCATCATGTTTGCTTGCTGGCAACATGTACGTACACCTTTATATTCTCTGTTGTGATTCATCTCGAGCCTCAGTGGCAAAGACATCTTCTGCCTGTTGGCCACTTTGCTCGTCCTTCCCGTATGGCATGGCACATTTGCTGCTCACCTTGTGTCACGGTGCACCCGTGGCGTTGCACACAGGAGGCCGATGATCGGCCATTGTTTGAATCGCTAAAAGTTCAACTGGAAGACTTTGCTTACAACACGGATGCCTACGCCTAACTGCCCGCTGCTGCCGTTGAAATTTGCTGGCACGAGCTTGTCTGATGTGTTCTTAGCAGATTCGGCAATGCCCAGATTTCAAAGTTCCAATGTTTGATTCGACCTGGGCTGCCTGCTTGAGTTTTTTTTTCTCTCTTGTTGCATGTGCGAGGGGAGCGGAATCCGACGACCTCGCCGACAAGAGCGGGTGTTTATGTAGAGCCTGACCTATATTGCCATGGGTATGACATTGAATTGAATCGTCTTCAAACCAATGTGCTTCAAACGTCCAAATGAGTCAACCGTTTATCATTGTGCTAGTTCTGGCCGAGCCGTCCCGATTCACGTGAGTCCCGTCACAGATCACTCGTCCAGCCACTGGAGGAGACGTGGCGCGTAATACGTGATGATGATGTCGGCCCCCGCGCGGCGGAAGGCCGTCATGGACTCGAGCACCCCCTCACTGCATCAAAACGGGATAGATGCATGGTTAGTTGAGAATACAAATTGGCACATGGGCGTGAGTTGGTCCTTGTATTTTGAGGTTGATAGAATTGATAGACGTGTGTACGTACCGCAGGTCAACGGCGCCCTGAGCAGCACCATGCCAAAGCATGGCGTATTCGCCAGAAACTTGATACACCGCCAGCGGATGGTATGGGTGCTGCAGGAAGCCATGCAGATACAGAGGGTCATAAGCAGAAAAAGAGCAGACGTTTGGTGCTTAGGGAAGGATAACCTACCAGACGCTTGGTGTCTCGCAGTACGTCCAGGTAAGCGATACCAGGCTTGACCATGAGCATGTCAGCACCCTCGCGGACGCTAATCTCCTGCAAATGTTCGCGGTAAGACAGCTGGGATGAGTGCTGTCAGCCTGGAGAGGAACTTGCTATTCTCCTTGCTCACACTGCACATTCAAGCTCACGTTGGCACGGGCGGCAAGACCGCTGCTGCCAGGGGGCAACTGATAGTTGTGACGGCCCTTGGGGGTTACGAGACGCCGGGCAACCTTGGTAGCGGGCTCGGCTTGATCTGCAGGGGCCGTCTTGGGCGCTGACTTTGCGGCATCGCTGTATGTTTCATGAGTGGACCAAGCCCGTGAGTGCTTGCGGGAGCTACTTCAGGGGGATGTTGGGAGCGAGGCACAAACAGGAGCAATTCCTGACCGGAAAGGGCCGTAGAAGCACGAGCAGAACTTGGCGCTGTAGCTCATGATGGCCACACGGTTGCGCAGGCCTTTGGCTTTAAGACCGGCATCGATGGCTTGAATACGGCCGTCCATCATGTCTGAGGGCGCAACAATGTCGCACCCTGCCTCTGCATAGGCCACGGCAATTTCCGCAATCCGCTTGGCACTGGCGACGGGGTCAAAGCGCTGCTGGCTCTCATTCTCTGGCTGTGTGTCCATGAAGATGCCACAATGGCCATGGTCCGTGTAGGGACACAAACACACATCGCAGGCCACTGTCAGTTGAGGGAAGGCAGCTTTGAGGAGGGGCAGCACCTTGACCACCGGATTGTCGCTGTCATCAGCCGTGGCCCCTCGCACGTCCTGAGTGATTGAGATGACGACCAGCCATCCCAAGCAACAGGGCACAAGTTGAGAAAGAGCGTATCAAGATGGGCCAGATGTGGGGGTATTTTGCAGACAGAGCATGGGCAGACCTTGCGGTCAACGACGCCAAAGAGAAGTACAGAAGCTAGTCCCTTCTGAACCAAAGGCTCGAGCGCCTTAACCACAGCATTGTAGCCGTAGCGGTCTGGGGCATTGACGGTACAAGCAAGCGGTGTTGAGTCCGAAAGCAACCGAATTCGGGAAGCAAGGGCAACAAGTGTGGGAATTCAAGCTGCCAGGCAATGCGGTTCGTACTTTGCTCGGGCAAACTGCCAATCGCTTCGACGTGATCAGAATTCTCATGGTCACTACATCGAGCACATCATTATTGAGACGCCACTGTCAAAAACATGGCCGGCAGCGGCGCATGAGCTTCAAGGTGTGGTCGTACAAACCTCACAAAGACGGGATACATCAAATGCTCCTTGGCCAGCTGCGCACTCGTTGCATGCCACGCGCGCAGCGTCGGGTTGTGGTAACCACCCTGCAGTGGGAACTCGACCCGCGGCTCTGGCACTTCCGCTGCCATGTTCAGAAAGACAGGAAGAAAGAAAAAAAAATGGAATGTCAGCAAGAAGTTTTTTTTTCTTTTTTTTTCTTTTTAAGAGGTGAATTGAAGCGACTTGGCTTGTGGACAAGGGACCCCCGCTTGGCAGGGAGAGACAAACACACAAAGACTCTGACTCCAACCACAACAAATGACAAAAATTTAATAAAGCACGGACTCTTCCCAAAACAGGAGCACACCCAACCGGCTGGCAACCGCAAACCAGGAAGAAAACTCAAAACATCCAAGGCATGTCCAACCACCTCGTCAATCACCCGAGGTTTGGTATATTGCTAGCCGTGGGTTCCCTTGCCGACAGAGCCAGCACTCCCTCGGCCCTTGATGCGCGGCGTGGGTGACGATCCCGAGGATCGGCGTCGTGATGATGAAGAACGCCGCCGAGGGCTAGGCTTTCGCTGATGAGCCAAGCCCCCACTCTTCTTCTTCCGACGCTTTTCAGCCGTCTTGGGAGGCGGCATCATCTCGTTCTCAGCATCCACTTGCTGAGCTTCATTGAAGTTGGCCACCGCTGTGCAAGCGGCCGCAAAGGTTGATCCAACAAAAGGACAAGGGCCCAACATGAGAATCACCCAAAACAAAAGCCAAAGGTGCAAGACACTCATGAGACCCTGCGCTCAAAGGCAGACGCGAGCCAGCGGCACATACCATTCATAAGGCCCTCTTTTCCAGCAAGTAGTGAGCCCCTGGGCAAGGCGCCCGTGTCGGAAAGGCCCTTGAGAACGAGCACAGTCTCCGACTCCTCCCGCAGCGTGGAAAACATGCGTGCCATTTTACCAATGGCCCGAATCTTTTGTCGGACCGCCTCTCGGCGACGCTCTTTCTCGGCTTCCTTTTGTTCTTCCGGAGTCAACTCGCGCTCTGGCACGGGCTCGGCTTGCAGAGCTGCCGTCAAGATGTGGAAGAGCATGTCCGTCGTTTTCTCAGCCACAAAAGGCAGGGACCAAGTGAAAACGTCCATAAAATTGGGCAGCCAGTAGGGATGAGGCGACGAGTTGAACTGGCGGATGTTCATCACATTGCTGTCATACTTCATGATGGCCGCTGCAAGAGAACAGCCGAGCCCAAGGTGAATTTGAGCAAGTTTGACCCGAGCAGTTGTCTTGGAAAAAAAGCCAGGCTGGGTCGGAGGAAGCATGTGCCACGATTTCAACCACGTACCCTTGTTGTTGTACATGTCCAAGTAGTTTGGGGCTGAAAAGAGCGTGATGAGGGAGGGGAACCCCGTATCGGCGTTTTTCTCATACATGCGATAACCGGCATCCTAGAGCCAAGAAGGTGGGCGAGCATGCGCGTTACTTTGCGGGCTTGCAACTTGCAGCAAGCACTGGCCGAGCAAAGGACACGTGAGCAGCTCAACGATACGCTGTAAGGTTAACTTTCGCACCTGGGCCTCGTGCGCTCGGATGATGGAGAGGAGGTTGTTTCGCCGCAAAAAAGAACACGAGGCCTCGTGTCTGAGGCATGATAAGACGTGCATGACGTCAGGTTTGGAGTGAAGGAAGAAGCCAGGCGCGTGACAAGGGCGAGCAAAAGAGCATGGGGAGACTAGGCGGCTGGTACTGGACATACGTAAAGTAATAAGAGCAACCACGCGCTGCATTGTATTGAAATTGCTGAGAGGTGGAATTTTGACCATAGTCTTTGGCAGGATCAGCCCACAGCAAGTCACACCTGACATTCATTCGCCATAAACGACTTGTGAGATGGCATCAGGCGTTTGCAGAAGGATCATCGTGTGCGGTAACGCACATGGGACCGCTCGGCGGGGGTTCTTGGAAACGATCAATGGCCTTGATGTCATCCAATGTTTGAACTTCTGGCGACAGCCCTCCTACTCCAACGTCAATCAACATGGTGCATCAGCGGCAGATTGGTATATGGGGGGTGGGCACCAATCAAAACTGCTGGAGCGGAAAACTGGCGTCAAGCACCCCCAACTTCAAATGAGACGGGGAAGTTGTGGGGCGGGGCTGCTGAATGCGGTCATACCATGCACGCAGAGAAACTGGCCATTGAGCAGCGCGGCCAGTGGGAGGGCATCAAAGCTCTCCATGCATGCATCATACACGTCTTCTGAATACTTGACTTGGCCTGATGACGCAGAGAAAAAGTGAGTAAGACACGGGACTGGCGTCAAGAGCTGTGACGAGGACATGCTTGCAGTGGCACGTACACTCCGTAAGAAATGTAAAGTACTCTGTCAAGTGACGGCATTCGTGGTTTCCACGCAAAAGGTAGATGGACTTGGGGTAGATAATCTTGAGGGCCCATAGGTACAAAACGCACTGTACCAGGGCATCGGCGGGCAGGATGGAGGGCGATGAGTCTCACGGCCAGTGTTGTGGCGGGTGGCGACGTACATTTGTGCCATGAGGCCGACACAAACCTCAATGCTAAAGTAACCACGATCCACGTAGTCGCCCAAAAACAAGTAGCGCGTGCTCTTGGGATCACCGCCCACCTCAAACAGTTTCATCAGGTCGTAAAACTGTCCGTGCACGTCTCCACAGACTAGTTTTGCCAGCCAGCATACAGCATGAGACAGATGCACACGGAGACTTTGAGAAAAAAAAAAGCTGCGATTTAGATTGGATAGGGAACACGTTCCCAAGCTTGAGCTTGGCGCGTGCGAATGAGAATTGAGAGGGGGCGCCTACCAGTCATCGGTGCCTCGATCTCGAGTAAGGTTGACTCGTCTTGGAAAATGTTTGTACATAGGGTAAAAAGCTTGAGAGCAGCCTGCTCCGAGACAACGCCTGTTGGAAAACGACAAAGGGGAATCAATAATTTGAGCGGGGTCGAGGCGAGACCAAGTCAAGTGTTGCTCGATCAGGCAGCAAACCTTCAGCAAGCAGGTGTTGCTGTAAGACGTCAAGATTGGGTTTGTCATCTGTGAAAATCTAAGCACAGGCGGAGCGTTTGGGTGTGTCAAGCAAGAGCATGACCAAGCCACGCGAGGGTGTCCAAGATTACAACCAGCAATATAATATATTAATAGAACAAACCTCTTGGACACCAAGGACCTCAACGGCCGGATGCTCAACGCCTGCAGCGATTGAAAAGACCAGGGCATTGAGTTGCCGACGCAGAGCGGGGCTAGAAACAATCCAATGCAATCACATGGACGAACCGGGGACGCGCGGAAAGCTGCGGGGCGGTCGGGCGGTTGTTTTCACGGTCATGTGAACAGAAGAGTCTGAATCATGACGGCTTTTGCTCTTCTCTTCCGAGGCAGAGTCAACGGCGGTCGCCATGTTGGCTCGGCTACAGAGAAGCGGACGCACCACAAGGCGCAGGCGGCAGGCGGGCAGCTCTGCACAATCAGACAGAGTCACGTCAAGTGGATGCGCTCGCAGCCCAAACGACGGATCAAGGCGAGAAGAGAGACGTGACACCCTGCTCGGCGTGACCCCTTGCTGAGGTCGAAACCCCCCCAAGCCAAACCAAGCGAGGCGCGTCGCTTGTTGCTAGGCTGCGCCGGCTGACACACTTGTTGCGGTGCGGAAACTTGGTTGTATCAGGGTCATGTCCCAGCCAATGCCCTCCCCACCTCACAGCAATGTCAGCAACACCAGAACCAGCACCAGCACCGTCGCCAACACCGGTCCGAGCACGGGGGCAGTCAGGTTGACGACACACACGCACACACACACACACACGAAAACGAAATTCAAAAGAGGGAGAGAGAGAGAGAGAGAGAGAGAGAGAGAGAGAGAGAGAGAGAGAGAGAGAGAGAGAGAGAGAGAGAGAGAGAGAGAGAGAGAGAGAGAGAGAGAGAGAGAAACGCTTCTTTTTTCTTTGGGATGATGAGGTGAAGCAAAATTGAGCTTGATATCGGTCCTGTTGCCCAAGGGGGTGTGGGGGTGTGGGGGGACGGAAGTGAGTTGGTTGTCAAACAGGATGTGAAGATCAGGGCAGGGGGCAGGGGGAGAGGTGCTCCCTCCTCTCAAAGCCCCCTCTGATCGGCAATGCACATGAGCTCGTTGGTAGCGCTGCCATTGCTCACACAGGATGCGTTGTCAAGCGCAGCTCACCGTGTGTGTGTGTGTGTGTGTGTGTGTGTGTGTGTGTGTGTGTGTGTGTGTGTGTGTGTGTGTGTGTGTGTGTGTGTGTGTGTGTGTGTGTGTGTGTGTGTGTGTGTGTGTGTGTGTGTGTGTGTGTGATTTTCCCAAAAAAAAAAAAAAAAAAAACGAAAAAAAAAAATCAATTTGAACGAGCACGACCTGATGGACCCCTCGCTCCCTACTAAGCGGGCCAGCACTTCTCAACAACCGATTGGACGGCCTCGGTCGTGAGATCCACGAAATCAGCAAGGCTGGCCAGCTCCAAGAGGCCATCGCTACTCAGGCGATAGATACGCGTCAGTTGTAATTGGGATAAAAATTCCTGACTGTGGGACACGACGACGACCGTGCCGGCATAAGAGTTGAGAGTGGCGGTAACCTCGGCCACGGCTTCCGTGTCCAGATGATTGGTGGGCTCATCCAGCACGAGGAGATTGACGGCCCGCGCCGCAAAGCCAGCTAGTAGCGCGCGGGCGCGCGCCCCGGGGTTGAGCTCCCCGATCAAGCTGTCCACTTGTCGCACCGTGAGGCCATACTGCATCAGGCGAGCGCCAGCGTCAAAGGCGGACAGACCGGTTAAATCTGCCATGTACTGACGCGGTGTTTGGGAGGGAGGCAGGGTTTCGTGCTCTTGTGTCAGATTGCCTAGGCGAAGGGCACGACCCAGGCGCACATCGCCACTCAATGGTGCTTGCATACCCACGAGGGCGCGCAACAGTGTGCTTTTGCCCACTCCATTGAAGCCCACGATGGCGATACGCTCGCCATAGTCAATACGCAATGAAATGGGTGGGATGGGTAGCGGCAGAGCGGAATCATAGCCCAGCGTCACGTGGTCGAGGACAATGGCCGAGTCGTTGTCAGGGGCCAGCGCGTCCAAAACGATGCGCAGGGGTCGGCGGCGCTGGACGCGCTCCACCATTGGCTCACGCTCTATGCGAGCCTGCATGGCGCTGGCCTTGCGACCAGAACGGCCGGCCCGATCTCTCTTGAGATCACGCTGCAGTTTGTCGTTATCCTTGCTCACCATGTGAGAGCCGGCCGTCGAAGCTGAGCGGAGATTGTTGGCCACGGCCGTCAACTTTTTGAGTCGTTCTTGCTGTTCCTCGTAGGCCACTTCCTGTTGCTGCAGCGCCAACTCGCGGGCGGCAAGAAACTTGGAGCATGTGGTGTGTGCCACCGTTAAAGTTTGGGTGGCCGGGTCAATGGCCCAGACCTGATTGGCCACGGCATCCAGAAAAGCGGTATCATGAGACACCATCAGAACAGCCTTGCCACTGGCCTGAATGGCGGCCTGCAACCACATGACGCTGGGCAGATCCAAGTGATTGGTCGGCTCATCCAGAAGCAGGAGACGAACGCCTGGCCGAAGAAGCGCAAGGCCAAGATAGGCACGCACGGCTGAGCCAGGAGATAGCTCCTGGATGGGGGTCGAGTCGTAGCCGGCCGTGCGCCACTCGAGCACGTGATCGGCGGCCACAGCCAGCTGACGCCAGGCTTCGGCGTGTTCGACTGCGACCTCGCCGCCGACGGCCGCCGCCATGTCCAAGGCCTCGGGCACGGTCATCTCACGAAGCTCGGCTTCGGTGCCAGCGGCCGATCCAAGAAGATGGGTCCAGTGCAAATCATCTTGCTCCACGAGCAACACACCAATGTTCTCGTCAAAGGCCTCCTCGTCTGTGTCCGCATTGGCGGCCTCGTCCTTGGCAGAAGCACGCGACGCTGGCGCCAAGCTGCCGCGTAGCCCACTCGTGCCAATCAGGAAATAGTCATGGCGTTTGGTCAAGGCCACCTCCGGGTCAGCGGTGTGTGCTCCGCGCGTGGCCTCGCGTGGTGAGGCAGACGCAGGCGACTGGTGCCCGAACGTTGGCGGGGAGCCACTGGGTTGAGCCAAGGCCCGCAAAAGCGTGGACTTGCCACAGCCGTTGGGCCCAATCAACGCGATGCGTTGACCGTCCACAATGTGAGCATTGGCATTTTCAATCAGTTGCGTCGACCCGACGGACAGGCCAAACTGGTGCAGCTCGAGCAACATGAGGGTCGAGGCGCGCGTTGCTGTTCACTGTTCACGGGCGGCTCGAATCCAACCGCCAAAAGAGGGCTTGCTAGCCAGCGCGAGCGAAAAAAAAAATACCACTGCCCGCACGTTCGAATCAGCCAGACGAACGAACCCCTCATCCCCATTGCCCAATCCACCGACGCCCTGAGCGTAGCCGCGTGTAGCTTGTGCAGAGGAGAGAAGACCAGCAGCACACCACGAGTCCCGTCGAGCTGTGCCGATGATGTCGTAACCCGACCAGGAAATTATGCAATCTCGTCTTTGTTGTTGTTAGTTTATGCAGATAATTTTACAGTTCATGCAGATAGTCTACTTTAGTACTCTAAATAGCTACTATTTTTTGAATAGTTTTCGTAGAGGATGTTATACCTTTTTACTAAAGTACAAGTACAATATACGCGTATTTATAATTTAATTTCTTTTCATTAACACAAGAAACATCTACAACATCTATCGGTATTTACTGTTACAGTTACTAGTCTTATAAACATAATCAGCAAAAACCTTGATATCGTCTTCAATAATCTGTATATACGCTTCATCAAGTAAGCAAACTACAACATCTTCCCAAGGTCATCTTTCTTTCTTACCAATGCATGCAACAACGACGGCGCATCTTCTTCTTCTGCTGCTGCTGCTGCTGCTGCTGCTGCATGCCCATTCGCTTTGACCCGCCGCTGTCTACCGTGCTCGCTGCTGCTCTGGGTGCTGGATTGACACGGACAATATAGGATTCATCCTTCTGGACGTTTGACCTGTTGTGTCAAGGGGGGCCTGTGACGACACGGGAGCTGCGCGCATCAGGTCTGGAGCCGTTCATCGCTCTCCCACATGCCCCCGCCCCGCGGGATATATTCGGTGCATCGTGCATCGCATGCAAGCTACACTCCCACCTCATGAGTCATCCTGCGGGCATGATTGCAGCTTGATCCGTCGCCTAACTCTTTTTCTCTTCTTCTTCTACTTTTTTTTTTTTTGCCGCTCCGTGAACGCCCTACACAGACGTCAAGAGGTCACGCCGGGTTGTTGTTTTGCGCGTCGTACCCTTGCACGTACCCCTGCAGGTGCACCCCCACACTCCAACTGCCACCTGTAACACCCTGATTGGCGAGGGGTCTTGTTCGGTGCCAGCTGGCCATTCCGGCGCCCTCCCTGTGCTCCTGGCCTCAAACTCTTCAACCATGCGACACACACGCGAGCTTCATTTCGCGAGGCACCCGTTGAATTATTTGGCGCTATAAAGCCTTCTTGTCCGCCCATCTGCCTGCCCAAACCGTCCCAGCACCGTCATGTTTTGGCCGGTGCACAGTACATTGGCGCTCGCCCTACTAGGCGTTTTGCTTCTCCTAGTGCCGCAGCCCGCCGTCTCTGATACCTCAGAGTATCACCAAGTCGTAAGCGACAGCGATGGCGTCCGCATTCCGCTAGAGGTGTACAAGGACTACGCGCGCGACTTTCGCGTCCACCCCAATAGCTCCTATGCCAAAGCCTGCATGTTTGATGTTGGACCCGACCATTATGACCTTCGAGTCCTTGGGGGAAACTATGAAGCTAAAGTTCACCTCAAGGATGGCACCAGCACCCAGTTTCGCCTCAGGTCTTGTCCCGGCCCTCGTGTGCAATTTGCCCTTGCTCCTCTGTCAGCAAAGATGCATGCCACTCATCCCTTGCCCACCCGATGCCTGCAGCCTATGCATCGAGCCGCGCCGCTGTAACGGTGCTGATAATGCTGCCGTCTGTCAACATACGCGCTACGTGCAAGACGGCGTGGCCCTCGCCTTCATCGAGAACACGGCTGGCCTTTTGCCCATGGTTTCCAACATGACCATGCAAGTTGCCCCGACCACCGACAGCAACTATCCCAGCTCTTTCGATGGCCACGACCCCTCTCTCACCTTTGGATACCCCATTGATAATTTTCTGGATTACCACACGCACGACGGCCTGAAATTTGTCTACGCCCAGGTGCCACCCGCTCGTGCTGCCCTTCACCCGCACACAGCTGTACCAGCTGTACAACTCTTTCTGCCACCACCATGCTTGCATCTCGGTGTTACTAGCCACCTCACTTTACTTTTGCTTGATCTGTGCTTCGCCCTGGTCAATCCGATCCGCAGGGAGCCTACGCATCCATTCTGTCCGAAGTACAAGAGGCCACCCAACTCGTGGAGTTTCTCGTTGGGGCCGCCCCTGCCACCGAGCTGAGCGACGCCATCCTGAATGCCACAAAGGAAATTGAAGAACACATCAAGCAATCGTCTGCAATAACGGTGCGCTCCCAGTTGTTGTCATCTGATCCACAAAGTTCATCTCACCTTTTTTTTTTTTTGTCCTTTTCGGCTGTCATGGCCCTGTGCCATGTCACCCTCTGCCTGGAGTAGATTGTCGATGTGCGTTGCGCTCCTGATGTGGATGGCGATGAGCCAATTATTCAATTCCTCGGCGAAGTCGATTTCAAAGATGGTGCGGACCGGGCTCATCCGGCGACCCAAGCGCCCCCTTGCAGGCTCAACTTCATTCGCCACTGCTTTTCCTGGCCATGTAGGCACCTGGGACGGCCTGCCACCTAGTAACCTCACACCCCCTGCTTTTACCCACGCCTTTGGCGTCATGCTCATGCACAAGTGTGCTTGCGCCAACAGCTCGTGCGCCCCACCGACCCTTGAAAAGTGCGTTTCTGCATAAATTTTTCCCCACCTGCCATATAGTCCCAGGACCATGCCCAGCAAACCCTCATGTGCAAGCTGCTTGATTGATTGTGGTTTGCCAGGGAGCCACGGGAATGTGTCGACTTTTGGGAGCAGTACCTTCAGCGCAACATCCCAGCCGTCGTTATTTTCATCCTCATTGCTCTTTTTGAGCGTCGCCGATCCGGACCGGGCCAAGATGTTTGTGGTTAGTCGCAACGCCTTTTTCCACATGCACAGACCCACCAGCAGCTCACCCTGGCAAACTTCTTCCTAGCTGGACGACCAAACTTACCAATTCCCATCAACTTTCTTGCCGATCGTCGAAGGTCTGTAATTAACCGACCAACCCTTCAAATGCGTGATGCGTGATGCGTGATGCGTGATGCGTGATGCGTGTCTCATCCAAAAACGGCCCCTTCGTGCCCCGGCTCATGGCTGCGTGGCTTCCCTTAGTCGTTATGTTTACGGCTGCATCTTCGGGGGATTTTCCTCAATTGCTTTTCATGACGTCGGTGCGTGCCTACTTCAGGCCCGTTCCTGTCGTTTTCTGCCCGGCGTTTTTTGTCGACCCGACCTCGCGCTTTCCATTGTGTCCGGGCTGCACCACTCACACCAGAAATTTTGATCCACCCCCCTACACAGCTCGTTTAATGATGGTCACCCAGCGTACAGAGGCGTGGGGCCATGATAGTATGCTTGAATCAATGGGCTTGATGGTACGGATTCGTCTTTCTTTGATTTGCACCCAAGCTCCCCCACACGACAATAAATACGTTCAAAAACTTACACGCCACTATCGTTCAGTTTCTTCTCGGTACGCTGTTTTATCCTGTCGCTATCTGCCACAAGTGAGTCGCCCTTTGCCCCGATATGACTGCATCGCACACGAACGTTAGCATTCCTCAAGCTGACCCTTACCCGGCCACTTTCTCCGTGTCACCGTGTCGCTCGGTGTTTAGTTCCGAGAATCACCTCTTGGGCAGTGCATTGGGCAGCATCTACTGCATCCTCTGCACGTGGGTCTACTTGAGCACGGTTGATTGTTCTTTCAAAGTAAGCCTGCCGGTCAACCCAGCCACCACTCAACAGTTACTTCCCTATTTTCTTCCACGTGCTGATGCTTCTTTGCACCCACTTGTCAGACGGGACGAGCCTACCCAGATGGTGCCATCATGATGCCCACCTTGGTTTGTTTGGTTTTGCTGCTGGGCTACTTTTTGGGTCTGTTCTACGTCAAGGTCAAACAGGTTCGTTCAAGCTCAAATCAACGGTTTTGCTGACATGAGACGAGCACCCCTCGTCGACCGCTCACATTTTATTTTTTATTTTTATTTTTTTTGCCAACCCACCGCTGACACCAAACCAGCTCGTTTCGACCATCAGTCGCGGCTTGCGTGCGCGCCGTCGACGCCGCCTGCTAACAGATGCCAAGTGGCGGGGATGGCGTTCGGAGCTCTGGAAGGCTTGTCGCCGCGAGCGCGACCCCCTGGAGTTTGTCTTCTACGAGACGCGAGTGCGGGAGCTAACACACAGTGCTCGACGACAGGAGCGCGATCGCCTCAAGTCGAATCGCCCCGCACGGTCGGCCTGGTCGTGGTGGTTCATTACTAAGGACGGATTGCGGTTCATTGTGCACAAAATCTACGAACCCGTGACCTACTTTCGGTACAGTCCGCGCATCGTGTCGATGGCGATGGTTGCCACCTTTTTGCTCTTTGAGGTAACCGTACACTGGAGCACCGGTACGTTGACCGATGAACTTGAACACACATTCCGCACCAAGCCACCCGCACAATTCCGGTCTTGCACCGCCTCACGCCCCTCGAATCCTGACGGCAGAGGTTAAAAAGTTTGCTGCGTTTGTCCACACGGTTGTGGACGGTTTGCACTGCGAGCCCTTGGGCGCAGGCATGTCTGCAGTTGACATCTTTTCGCCCATCACCCCGACGAGTCTCAAGCCCATGCTCCAGGTACGCTGAGGCCGTGTTTAACACGTGACACAAATTTGAAATTGAATATGCCAACAGAGCCACGATGCTATCGCGCCACCGACGCCGCCTTTCAACAATCTGGGGTGTTTGCTCCGAGCAGGATCTCACCACGTTGTTTTGTTGTGCTGCATCGTGGTTTGCAGCTCATCCCGGGTTTCGAGGTGGCTGTGGAGGTTTACATTCCCTGCAAAACCAACTTTATCATCGAGAATGCCGTCTACTGGTCATTTCTCACGGCTGGACTTGTGTCCTGCGTGGTCCACTGGATGTTTCTTCTCCACATGATGATGTGCTACCGCAAGCACTTGCGGTACGCCTCGACACGTGCTGATGCAGTCGCAGCTTTGCTTTGCGATTTTGGTTTCTCACTTACGTCTACGCTTCGCAACTGACGACCATTTTTGACTTTTTGCGCCCGGCTACGAGTGTAGACGACTGTGCCGTGGTGATCGTAGCTTCTTGCCCGCACGAAGTCGCAACCGCGCCTTTGCCATTGTCGATGCTCTTCGCTACGCTGGCTACCAGATTGCTTACCTTCTTTCTGGATGGTTCATCTTGACCATTGTTATCTGCCTCGTGTTTCTCTTCATTGCCTTTGCGGTACGCTGCAGTTATGCGTGCTGCCCAAGTCTCCGTTCTCTACACGTCCTCTGCACCCCAACGGGCTCAGCATGGCTTGCTTATTCGCCTCAACAACCTGAACTTTTGTGTGCAGATTGTATTGCCTATCTTGGACATTTACGATGATTGGTTTTTCAAGCCGATTCTTTACGCTCAAATCTGGGTCATTCTGATCCCATTGACGTTTTATATTCTGCAGGTTTTGTCCGTGTACATCTTTTTCCAGGTTAGTGACCAATGTCCAGCTGGCCTGTATAACGCCTAAAATTGCCCCATGCCACCAAGGCTTTGAGATTTGTTTGCCTTGCCGCCCTACTCACTGTGGCCCCGCTGTGTCCTCCAGTCTGGGCAGTCCTTTGTCATTGTCAATCAACGCATCTTCCACAATGTCGACTTTTTTGTGTACGTCGGAAACCGACGCGGGACAGACGGTGGTCCCTTTGCAAATTAACGCAACGGCACGCTCTCATGTCCAATCGTGATGGCTGTCTCGACCCCCGCTTGTAGATTTTTCATCAACATTTTTGTCGGTCTATACTCGTTTATCATTCGCATCATTCTCAACGTACTCTTTGGCTTGCTGTGGATCAGTCGTCTCGACAAGAATATGATGACGCGCGGTTACGAGTGCGTTGCATCGCTTGAAATTTGCTAGCATGCTGTCTGCCCACTTGTTGCCGGCCACGCGGCTATCCTCACACCCTGATGTGTGTCAACTCTGAAGGTTCATTGACCCCGGCTATCGCACCTATCTCGGCTTTCTCGAGCTGGATTACCATTATTGCAACCCGGTCATGGTAACTTTTGCTTCCATGCTGTCCAATATTCAAGCAGACAACAAGAAGAGTCAAAAGCTTTTCTACCTTGACGTATGTTTGGGTTTATCCTTGGCACTTGTATCCGGCGAGAGCGCACTTTCTTGGCTGAGCCTCAACGTGACCGTGATGCATGCTAGTTTTTGGACCACGAGCGTTCTCTGCGCCCCGGCGACGAGAACTCGGATAGCGTGGCGCTCTTGGCCGTCTCTTCGCATGATCGGTTTCGCGACGGTGTGTTACATGCCAAAGTTTGGGTGCGGGGTAACCGCCTTTCGCTGGCTCACAACTGTGTGCCCACGCTCACAGCACGATCCGAGGAAGAGGAATGGGAGCCGCCGCAGTCAGCACAATCAGCCCTCTCCTTCACACATTTGCTCAATGATGATGCGGTCAAGGCGGAGGCAGAATATCGCTGGGGGCTCATGCGAGCCAAGCAGCGGCGCAGAAACTTGGTGCGCAATCGCTGGGCCCTCTTTTACACGTTGGTGAACAATCCACAGCTGCGTGACTGCCGAAAAATGAGCAGTCGGCGCCGGCGCAAAGCCTCCCTGCGGACTCGCTCCAGCGAGGTTTGGCACGTCCAGCAGCTCCATCAGCAACTCCAAGAGGAGGAAGCGCAAGCCAGTCGAGCTGGTCACCGTTGTTTGCACTGCGGGCACGCCTGCCGGGCGCCTCTGGAACTGGACAGCAGCGTCGGCGAATCACACACAGAGGGCAATGTCAGTGTGATCAATGCCAGGCCCGTCTCTGTGGAGCAAGGTGTGCCTGTGGAGTTGGTCAATGGCCCGCCTCTTTCGGCCATGTCTGGCGTCTTTATTGACCGCTGGGCGGACCTGCACGGTGGGCCAGAGTATCAAGACATGGAACCTGCAGAAACGGCCATGGATGCGTTACAACCTACGCTCATTAATACGGGTCGAACGTCGCGCTTGAAGCTGCGACTGGGTTCAGCTTCCTCCACACCAGGCACACGCAGCCCCACGTCCCCCATGTGGGGGGGCGGCGATGCAGAGGCTCAAGGTGAACAAAATTTGGCTCCAACCCTCGATGGCGCAGGCGTGACGAGAGCGCTTATGGCTCCGGATGCTGTGCAACTCTCTCAAATGCCCCTCATGGGCATGGATCAGGTGCATCTCAACAACTCGGCATTGGCTGCGCGGCGTCGGCGCACGGTTGGGCCCCATGAAGGTGAAGCAGCCGCGGCAGCCCTGGATAGTACGCCTCATGCACGTCGATTGCCTGGATCTGGGACCTTGACTCTCAGCAATGGCGTGGTGGCAAGGTCGGCACAACGAGGCCGCTCTGCCACCGCACAGGATGAAAGCAGCGAAGTTGGGATGCGCCGCAGCCCGCTGCGTAGCCCAGAGCGGCCGGCTTTGGCCACCAACATCAAATTTGTGCCTGGGCATTATCGATTGCCGAGTTTTGAACCCGATTGGTCTGCATTTCCTCCACCGCGTGAAGCTCATGGTGATGATGATGCCGATGATCATGGCGATGAGTGATCTGCGCTTGATGCGTCGCGCGTGCTTGGCTGCATGTTGGCGTTTATCTGATCAACTAGTTTAATCTTGGCGTTTTCGTGTGTTGGTTTGTTTGAGTTTGATAATGTTTGTGCTTATAGAAGCTTGACGTTAGTCATGCGTTGTGCCCTGACTAGATGCCGATGACAAGAGCCGTGCTCTTTGCTTGTTGTTTCTTTTTTTAAGTTGAGGACTAGCGAAAAAAAAAAAAAAAATAGGTCATCTTCCAGTAAGGGTTTTTTCAAGTCATCGATTGCGATGCCGCTGGTAACAACGCTCTCACGTCGAGTCGAGCCAACAACCAAGGCGGGCATTGCGTTGTTGCATGGGTGCAAATGGGGTGGGATAGATGGCGCAGCCATGAATGCACCCACCCAAACAAAAACAAACTTGTCGCATTCTCCGCGCAGCCTTCGCGCATTCCACAAGACGGTCTTTCCTGCTAAGACCAAGCTTGGTTCGCTCTTTGGTTCGCTTGAAAAAAAAAAAAAAGAAAAGGAAACTCTCACAAGGCGCATCGCCCGCACGTCAAGTTTGAAAACGACGACCTATGCCTTTGGCTTTCCCCTGTCGTTGGCTGCTGCCTCTTCCACGGCAGACTCAAGCGACTCAGTATTGGACACCTCGAGCATGCGATGCAACGTCTCAACGTATTTGTTGACCTGTGCACAAAAATTGAGATGAGCAGCGACCCATGTGTAAGCAAACCCCAAAATGATTAGAAGCATACCTTGCGCTGCAGCTGGTTTGCCGTGTGCTGGTAGGTGTTGAGCTTGAGATCCTTGGCCATGGCCTGAAAGAGCACGGCCATGGCGGAGTTGCAACGACAGCGAGAGATGGGGCCAAGGGAGAATCAAGCGATGGCGCGCATGAGGAAGCGATGGCAGGCAGCGGGATGACAAGGCAAAGGCAACCAATCGTGCGGGGGCAGCAGCAAGAACGCACATCATAATCCAAGCCGTGTTTTTGAATGCTGAAAGGGCAGAGCAGGCGTCAAGGTCCCGACCGGTTTGAGATTCAGGTATGAGCCTTGGTGGATAGGACGGTACACAATGAGAGAGGCAAATAGGCACGCACCAGCTCTGAATGAAGATAATCTCGCCCCGGGCAGCAAAGGTTTTATAGGTTTTGACGGATGCAGCACGCTGCTCAAGCTCTGCAGCCAGAGCCAAAAAGCATCAATAAAACGCATTACACAGGGAGGTATGTCAACATGGCCAGTGTAGAAAAAGGACGGGGCCCACAACAGCTCGCTCAAGGATCGGTGCGCACTCACCACGAACAACTTCGGTGGGTTCGCGGGCAGGCGCCGTGATACCACCCCCGCGCAGTTTTTGGCTGCATCAGATCAGTCGCATCAACAATTAGTGTCAGTCTGGCGAAGAGAAGACGTCTGCACACATTTGGCAAACTAGGCTGCAAGTCAAACCGGTGGGCATCTCCCGACAGGTCCACGTTGGTATCGACAACAAGGCCAAGTTCCCGAAAGTTGTCCAGGAGCGACTTTTTGGGATCCCAAGCACGGGCGATGGTTGAGCTAGCAATGTCACGGCCGTTGGAACCACCCGAGTGAGCACCGCGTGCATGAGCAGGAATATAACACGTGTGAGGTCTAAGCTGTTCTGGGTGGGCGACGCTCGCACTTTTGGATTTGAACTTTGGTCGTGCGCTGACGTTCGCTGCGCTTCTTAGCCTGACGCGCGGTCTGCTTCTTCACGTGTCCAGCACGCAGCTTGCGCTTTTGACGAGGGTTGCCCATCTTGTCGCGTTGAGTCGCTTGCCTAATACCGCATGCACACAGATGAACAAAATGAGGCCCAGCTCCAAACCCTTGACCCCCTCGACCCCTTGTCTCTTGTGCCATCTTCCCGGTTAGCCGCTTCATCCTTACACCTGGAGCACGAGCACGAGCACGAGTACGAGTACGAGCGACACACTCACGGAGCAGCTTGATCGCCGTCAAAAAAAAAAAAAAAAAAAGAAAGAGAGAGAGAGAGAGAATGAGAGAGAGCACGCGGTCTCTCTCTCTCTCTCGCTCTCTCGCTCTCTCGCTCTCTCGCACAAATTCTCTGACATTCCGATTTATTTTCAAAGTTTGATGTTTTGCACACTACCGCTTGTAGCCATTTTCTCTCTCTCTCTCTCTCTCTCTCTCTCTCTCTCTCTCTCTCTCTCTCTCTCTCTCTCTCTCTCTCTCTCTCTC